CCCCAAAACCCCAAAACCCCAAAACCCCAAAACCCCAAAACCCCAGACCAGTGATTCGTGATTGAAATTTATTCGAGAGTTGCTCCTAGAGGTCCTATTAATTTCATGACTGTTTCCACTGTGACAAAGGTAAATCCAGAAGAGAATGGAGTTCTACAAACACATGTGATATACCCTCTATAGAAACCTTTGAAGCCTTCGAGACGGTAGATCTCCTTAGCTGTTGGGATCAGGCCGGTGAATTTCCCTCCTCTAAAGGGATCTGATTGAATCTTAGTCTTACAAAGATCAATTGGGTATACCTATATTTTTTAATTTAGATTCCTTACTGTGATCCAGAAAACTTCTCCAGTCAAGGCTCCGCAAAGAAGGATCTTAAGGATGCTCGGGTTTGGCTGGTCGCCGATTATTTTAGACTTAAGAGTTGAGTATGTACCGAAATACACCCCGTAAGCTATCGAGTCTCTGCAAAGAGCTGAGCAATAGCCTTTCATGACTCCTGAGAATCCATATTTTCTGTAAATACGAGTGACAGCATCGTAAGATCCAGAAAATTTTCCTTTCTCTCCTTTCTTGTTATTTTTGTTGCTATGAGGTTATTCATAATGAACTTACCTGCATCCTAATTCTTATATGTTCTACAGGGGTTGAGGCCATACTATTGAAGACTCCTGCCACAGATCCGCAGGCAATAATTTCAGGTTTGCTAAGTATCTGAGGATTCTCTCTTCCTTGCTTGGTGTGCTGATGCATCACAACTCTCTTCATAAGCTCAAAACCTCCGAACTGAAGTGAGACACAGAATGAAATCCCAGTGAATGGAGAGAGGGCACCTATGAGCTAGTTCACAAGGACTTTACCTTTGTAGAATGCCAGTGGGCCTTCCTTGTACAAAATCGAACTGATTCAATGAAGATATCCCTATAAGATAGTATTTTAAAAAGTAACAACCAATAAACATCTTAAGAATCTTTCTCCCCTTCATGGTTGTTTAAGTGAAGATGATTAGGTGGCAATGCCAAGATGTTGAAGTGAGATCTTACCTTGTACAGAGGACTGATAGATCAGTTGTTTTGCATCCTAACTTTCACAGTGTCGAATGGCATTCCGACGCAAACTTGTGCTATTCCTCCCATACTTCCTGCGAATAGACCTTTCAAGACAGCTAATTGAGACGACTGCTGATAGACAGGTCTGCGAGGAGAGGAGAATCCTGGCTTGGTTTTGTGCACTGTAGCCATATTTGTAATTCAAATAAAGTTAATCAACTTCCCGGTGAATTCTAGGGGTTTTGGGGTTTTGGGGTTTTGGGGTTTTGGGG